GAAAATTTCTTTTCCGCATTTTTATACTAATATTAATCTTTCATATCTACGAAGTTAATAATAACTTCATTAAATCAAAGTCAATAGATACCGTTTTTGTAGAGATAACGTTTTTATTCTATACGCATGAAAAAAACCTAGATTAGATCTAATAAATGGAAAATGTTTTGACTCTTTGAAATCTGTTATCTTCTTTATTGAGAAACATTAGATTCCGTGTTGCAATCAATATCTTTAAAAGAGATTTATCATCATTGAACTTTGATATGGAATTGTTGTGTAACACACATATACACGAAGAACTTTTCGATTGAAAAAGTTTCTTACATTGCTTTTGTGCTGAATGACTTGCGTCTATTAAAAATATCAACTGCTTACATTCTATTCGATTTTAAAAGTTAATTTTCCAAAAAGTTAAAATTACTTTTGTTTGTCAGTAGCAAAATTTAATCCTCTGAAAGTTACTATTAAATAATGAAGAAATGACTTAATTATCTCAGAAAATGTCGAATTAACCGTCAAATTCTTCCGATCGACTTGAATTCAATTCACATCTCGCAATAATTAAAGATACCGACAAACACGTTGCTAACACGATACAAAATACAGTGGCGGCTATCGTGAATCGCGGTGCGGCGCATCAGCCCTACGGTGAGTCTTTTAACGAGGAGAAACCACGGACCGATGCGGTTAATCCAACACGGCGAAGACGGTATCGCCTGATTGCGACTACGACGTCACGCGGACTGCTAAGGTACGAGCCAAGGCGAGCTAGCGAGCGAGCGAGCGAGCGTCTCGGGCTCGGGTAGATGGCTACGGTGGTTGGTAACGGTACCGAATCTGCATACACCGTACCGTACACACGCTTACGCCGCGCGCGCAGTCGGCGCTATCAGGGAACCGCATCATGCTAATTCGCATCCTCCGCCGGCCGTCGAGATTCGTTCTCGCGTCCGCCTCTCGCGCGGATCGTCTCGCCGGACGCCCCGGTTTTGCTTGCGAACCCGGCCAGGTCGATACACGGCTATGCCATCTGCCCGGTTTTCTCCTTACGTAGAAACACATCGCTTTTGCATCTCGCGAAATGCTCTGATTCGGGCGTCCCGGAAGATGCATCGATGTTCTGCATCATGAATATGCGTATCGTTCAAATAAAATGTTCATATAAGTTCAGACGTATGTTAAAAAAATATAAAACAACGACGCATCAAAGAATTACATATTAAAATTAGATCGAATTAAATGTGAAATTATAAGATATTATTCCGAGATTGAATCCTTTTTGATCGATAATTTTTGCCACAAAGATTCGTTTATTTTGGTTGAAAAATCCTGCGAGGATAGATGTATTTTTTGTTTATTGCGCAACCACGCGAATTTCTTTCGTCTCACTTTTCTAATTCAATTATAACTTATCGTTTTTCAATCTTTAGGATCGCTCACGATTCCGCGAATGCGCGCGCGCGATTACGAGGACGATTTGGAGAAGGCGGACCGAGATGTCGGCGGCGAAGGAAACGAGGAGAAAAAGGAGCGCGGCCGCGAGTCCCGACCGATGAATCACTCTCGGCGATATCGGCCGATCTGGACAAGCTCACCCGCATGCTCGGAACATGTTTATCTCCGGTTTCGCGTGTCAACTTCGCGTCATTGTGCGCGATTCTCTCTTTCTCCTTCCCCGTGCCGTTCTCACCTCATCGTCGATGCATCGATATCGCGGAAGTACGGCGTCGCCGTCCGAGGCATTAAATGGGACTTTCGACGATCCCTCTGTGCGACGAGACGACGGCGGTTGTGCCGAGAATTCTCTTGTCTAGGACCCCTCATCCGGACCCTCTCGCGAGAAAAGATGGGACCGGGATGACGGACGGAGAGAGACAGAAGAATAGAGAGGAGAGAGAGAGGACGGGGACGGCGGGGGGAGAGCCCATTCCTTCGTTAGCCGCGGGGCGGAGGTTGGAATCCAGGCGCTTCTCAGCGGGACGCCGTTTCTTCGAGTCTCGACTCTCTCCCGAGAATCTCGTACGTGGAAGATTCCCCTTCCCCGCTTTTCATCTTCTTCTGCGTCTTCTTCTGCTGCCGCTGCTCCCCCGTCCGTTCTCCGTTTCGCTTTTAACGTGCCACCCTCTCCCGGTCCCGCGCCACCGCTGGTCCTCGCGAGCTAGAGCGAATGTTCTCTCTCTTCCTCTTCATATTTTGCCATCTCGCTCGTTTCGAGCCGCTATCTCTTCCGAGAACACCGGCGCTGCATCGCGCGGTGCACCGCGTACATACGCCCACGCGTTGTTACGAGTCGCAATTTGCCGGGGTACGTCCTAGACGGTGTTTCCTTTCGGTTCTGCCGAGGGCTTGAGTGTGCTCTCGATGCACTCTCCTTCTTTCTCGGTTCCGCGTTCCGAAGATCGAGAGTCCTTTAGAATGTCGTCGAGGCTGCGCCGTTTTCTCAAGCCGTCGAATGCAGACAATAATTTGTTAGTTTTGCACGATGCTAACGATATTGCTTCGGCATTAATAGTTGAAAATTGTGCACGACAGGAAGAAAGCGTGAACGTAAATATCGGAAAGAAAAATATATAAGATACACCAGCTTTTTACTATTGTATTTTAACAAAAATTCTTTTCTTATTCTAAAAATATAAATGCAGTCTTGTCAAGTTCTTGATACTTTATTGAAATTTTTCAAAAGGTTGAATAATTGCAGGATTGTTACATCTAAAGTTTCTACGTACTTGTTGAGTGCTCACGTTTAAATAATTCGCAAACGACGCGTTACCTACTTCAATGGTCGAGAAGTTGAAGCGCAGATTTACGAAGGCTCGCCAGCAGCTCGTTCCGGCCGCCTCATTTTCAGCATTGTCACGCGCACGCGTTGCCCCGTCATTTGCCAATTATCGCGAGTGAAAGCACACTCGAGTAACGCGAAGTAATTGCGTTACGCGGACAGACGAGCGCAATCGCGCGATGGACAATCGCGCAAAAACGCGACGCGCGCGCGCACGCGGTCGTTATTCTACAGAGTAATCGCGTCGTCGTCCTTCTCCTCCTCCTCCTCCTCCTCCTCCTCCTCCTCTTTCTCCGTGTGTGTGTAATCCACGCGCGAAAAAATACGCGGTCCGGTAATAATCGCGGTAATCGCGTCCGGAGAATGCGGCAGAGGCGCGTTTATAAGTACATAACGGTTTGCAGGACATCTCGCATGATCGCGCACGGTAGAAAGGTACGATCCTCGCCCATGATCGAATCTCGGAGGAATTCGTATCAGTAATCTTATACATTAAATACGTTTTACACATCTCATACTTATATAAAAAATAAACAAAAAGATATATGAAATAAAAATTCTTCAAATAGCATTTATTTGGACGAAGTATAAATAATATTTGATTAAATTTAATTAAACGTTAGAGCTCGTTATGTGAAATTAGCAATTTACATTTTTTACACGTGACTTTTATATTAAAAACGCACGCCGGTTATAATCACGATTACTCTAGTCTTCGCCGTTGAACGTTTCTTGCGAAAGCAGCGTAGGACGCAATGTAGGAAAATTACAAATTCCCTTAATAGCGCACGTGTTGAGCGAGAAAAAAGTGTAGCTAAATCCGTCAAAATAGTACATTGCCTCAGAGTCGCAGCGGGTATTAACCTCAATGATATGATGATGATGATGGCGGAGATAATGATGATGGCGCTAATAATGATCGGTCGATAAACCGGTACGCGGCTTTCGGCGAAATTCGCAATTCCAATCTCGTATCGCCGACGCCGGGCAGCGTCGCGTCTCCTCGGCCGATCGTATTTGCGCGTGCTCGAACGCGCCGCGTTATGGCACCACCACGTGTATTTACCTTTGCATAATATTTGCAGGCACTCGAGAGGTATTGCCGCGAGACTGGTTCGGCACAGGTGTCGTGCCTCCGCACCGCCGCCGTCGTTGCCGGTGGACTTCTCAGAAGTAGCTGGCGCACGTAGCGAAGTAGTATACGCGAGTAAACGAGCGCGTTATCCTATCTACAGTTGAGCCTCTCTGTCGCGCGGGACACGAAACGTTTCGTACGATCTCGCGGCGAAACGGACCGTTAGCCGCACGGTGGTCAGCGGTCCGAGGACCCACACTCGTTACGTCACGCCTGTCTGACGAGAATAATCGCTCCAGGCGACGTAGAAATTCATGCTGTATGGACGTATGGACGTATGGACGAGCGTGGCGCAATCCGCTTGTCAGATTTTTGACGGATCGCGCGGATCTTCTTCGCTCGAACGAACAGGGCAGAAGTGCTTGCCAAAGGGATATATATCCGTGTGTGATCATTGCCGATCTTGCATACGATCAAGGTCCGGCATATTCATCGCTATATGAGCTTATCCGATTCCCATCTCGGCGATTGGCGCATTGATACGTACATTAATACGTCATGATGAATAAATGTGTATTTTTGGCTGAAAATGAGCCGAGCACTGTTCACATATGGTAATCGGGATTCCAGTCAGAATTTGCTCACCGAGAAGTGAAAGAGTCCGTTTCTCTTTTCTGCTACAGCCGCGAATTCGATGGCGTGTGACTGCGTAGATAAGCCTCATTGCGTGCCAGACTTATCAAAATTCTCGCGAGCGTCACAATTTTTCGATGTATCCTCGAAAGAGGATTTCAAGGGCAAATGAATGAAAGAGTGCACACAAACTAGGGCGATCTAAATTGCGAAAATAAGTAAAAAAGATCGCACTTATAAATTGATCACATTTTTGAGGAGAGAAAAATCAGAAATAAACTTTCAGAGTGATTTTTTAAATTGTTTTGTTTATATTTTCAGATTGTCGAACGAAATTCCGCAGGCTCGATAGCTCGATAGCTCGGCGGCTTCGCCGTCTCGATCCGTCTCTTGCGCAGAGATCGGGACGGCGAAGAGGACCGCACCGTGTAACGTGAAAGCGAGATCAAAAGCTTAGGCAGAGGCGAGTTCTTCACATTATCAAGCGTCCGCTCTCGTTTTTTGTTTCAGCCGTGCAGAGAGGGCGAGTGCCGCCGTCGCAGCCGTCGGGGCTGCCGGGTCTGCCGGGTCAATTCGCCTTGACGAACGGCGACACGGTCGCATGCCCCAGCCTAAACGGACACTCTTACCTCTCGTCGTACATAAGCCTGCTGCTGCGGGCGGAGCCCTATCCGACCTCGCGCTACGGCCAGTGTATGCAACCCAACAACATCATGGGCATCGACAATATCTGCGAGCTCGCGGCGCGGCTGCTCTTCTCGGCGGTCGAGTGGGCTCGCAACATCCCGTTCTTCCCGGAGCTCCAGGTGACGGACCAGGTCGCCCTGCTCAGGCTAGTGTGGAGCGAGCTGTTCGTCCTGAATGCGAGCCAGTGCTCGATGCCGCTTCACGTGGCGCCGCTCCTGGCGGCGGCGGGTCTTCACGCCTCGCCGATGGCCGCGGATCGCGTTGTCGCCTTCATGGACCACATCAGGATCTTCCAGGAGCAAGTGGAGAAGCTCAAGGCGCTCCACGTCGACTCTGCGGAGTACAGCTGTCTCAAGGCCATTGTCCTCTTCACCACCGGTGAGTCAAAAATTATTATTTCTATATTCGATTTCATTCGGGCGATGTCATGTTCGAGCGGTGAAAGCTTACAATGGCTTCTATGATAAATTTCGAAATATCTTGTGGATCTCGGAGTTTTATTTAAAACTCTTAATTCAACAACGAGCTAAAAGTTTTTTTTAAACCGAGCTTTTTTTATAAAAATATTATTCGCATTGTGACAAATGAAATATTGAACAAATAATTAGCAAGAAGTACGAAATATATACAAATTATCGCCGTGAATAGTCATCTGAATGTCGCGAGTGCGCAATGACAGAGATTCGTCGCGCGCGAAGAACTAAAAAAAGAAGCGATCCCACTCCGCGTTTTTGCGTCTCGCACGAGCCGACGGGTCTTCACGACGTATTCTCGCACGTACAGCGATACTTCGGTCATCGTCCGTATTACCCGCGCCTGCTCGCCTGTCCCGCCTATAATCGTCATGACGATGCTATCTCGAAGACGCTCGTTGTCACGTAGCCGCGATCCTCGACGGGCCCTAGAGAGGAGGCTTCGCAGCCAGCTAGCGAGAGGGACAATGCTCTTCTCTCTTCCCCCCCGGATCGCGAGGCCTCGCAGTTCCTGTACCGTGTGTACCGGGTGGCGGGAGAGCGCCGGAAGAACTCTCCGAGCATAAGCGAATCGGGTCTCTCTCTCGCTCTGTCGAGAGAAGTTTACGCGCGCTCTCTCTCTCTCTCGACGCCGTCCGTTGCTCGCTGACCGTGGCTTCGTCTAATCGACATGGCGGAGATATTATCGCCGCTGGTACGCCCGCTGCGACTGTCATCCAGCAGCGCGATCCCCGTCGGGACCAGGAGACGACGGCGACGGGATGACGACAATTCACTGACGTAACAATGTATAGCGCCGCGGCGACGCGGACATACGTACGCACCGCGTTGTACCGCGATCGTCATCGAGCCGTTGAGACAATGCGTTTCTCTACTTCCCTCCGCCCGTCTCCCGTCCCCTCCCGCGCAACGTGTCCCCGCTCCCCGAAGCCAATCTCTAGTCCCCGTATCTATCTGCCTTTCCCTCTATCTCTATCTCCGTCTCTCTCTCTTTCGCCCGCTTCGCCCGATGACAACCGCATCCTGTCCGAACGAGCGCTCGCGAGAGCTATCTCCCGGCCCATCTGCTCCTTTCTCCAGAAGGAACCACTACCATCGCACACGACGAGAGGATTTCGGCCGGGCGATCCTCTCCTCTCGTCGTGTGTCTCTCTCTCTCTCTCTCTCTCTTGTCTACGTGCACGCACGTTCGCACGCACACCACCCGGACGGTGGGCTTCGGTCAGGGGGGGTCGACAGAGAACGGCGGCGGCGGCGGCGGCGACCACGACGATGGCCCATGCTAAAGCATCTCGCCGTAGATACGAGACGGGGGGCTATTTATTTCCGTGCTATATGGGCGCGCTTTAGCTCGGCTTAGCTTATGCTAATGTCCCCATTCTCGGGGAACCTCCACCTCCTCCTTTTTGCTTTTCCCCCCCGCTCGACTTTTTCTACTCTTTCTGCGCCCGGACGCGATCGCCGGACGGCTGGCCCTTTTCTTTACTCTTTCGTGAAATGAAACTATATGAGCGTCCCCTCCCCTCATCTTTCCTTCTCTTCTTTTAGGATCTAATGTTTGACCCTTGAACGGATGGCTTAGTTTATATGCAATCTTTTCTTTTTCATGCAATTTTTAGCAGCGCGATTACGAAAAGATGTTCAATTTTGATAAGTCAAACACTTGGAATTATTTGTTATTAAAAAAAAAAAGAATACAGTTTTATATTGTAAAATTTTTTTTCAATTTTTCATATGACGTTAAAATTTAATTTCTTTATTTTGTTAAACAATGCGCATGAAGAACATCTCAAAACTCACGTTAAAACGATTTAGGATATTTATTTTTAACCTAGCGATAACAAATATAAGTACTGCTTAATGAATTACGGGTAACACGTTATAATTTATCACCACGGTTATGCTGACAGCTAACGCGAGATAAGCTTATTACTTAATACAGTTAAGGGACCGCTATTGTGAAGTTAAAAAAGTGAACGGGCCGGGACATCATCTCGCCCAATTTAACATAATGAAAGGTAAAAGGCGTGGAAACGGCTCGCATAATCCGCGCGGCCGCGAATGAATTCGTTTGAAATGAAAAGTAGAATGAACGCTCGCGCGCACCGGCGCGTTATTACGGTAATCGAGGTGTGTCACTATAGCGAAACACAGAAGTAACGAATGCGAAATGCATTATTAATTACACCGAGGCTGGTATGCCGCTTAAGATCGCATTACGAGATACTATAAACGCTCGCCGCACAAAACTTTTGCTCCGCTCGCTCCATATTAATACGCGCGTTTGATAATTAACGTTTGATATTTAGTGAGATCGTGAGAAATGTCTGGATTGTCGCGTTAATGATTATTATAACCAGTCTGAAATGCAAATCGTGCGCGGTTGTCAGAAAACGTGCGTCATAACGTGTTTCATGTCGAGACATTTAAATTGTCTCGCAAATTCTCACCGCCTAATAATTTAAATGTAAATCGTTACGCGTGAAAAATTATATTTCGCGGAATAATTAATCGGCAATAATTATAGCGCGCAGCTGGATATAAACTTTGCATTACGTTTTTTTATCAATATATTTTTACTTATCAGTCCATTGCTTTTACTATTGCATTTGTAACTTTAATTAATCTTTGCGAGTAATGAAAAGCAACGAAAAAGAGCGAAAAGCTGTTTCTATTAAAATAAATTAACGTGCGAAAAATTAAGCAAGTCTTATCAGAATAGTCACGTCAGACAGATTTAATCACGGTAGTTGAGTCTTAGACGAGTCGCGCTTCTTCTATTCTAACATGTCTATCGTATTTTATAATACATATCTAATACATGTGTTTAACGTTACATCGGGAAGACTCACGTGCGATTATAGTACTTACGTATCGCGTGTAATTGACGTGAAATTAGCGTGTCCGCCAGCGCGAGCGCGGATAAACTTCTTTCCGCTCCCTTTCTCTCTTCTTTTCTCGCAGCGGGAATTCGCTCTCCACCCGCGCGGAGATGAAGGGTGGCGGCTTTTTTCCGTACACCCCGTAGCAGGCGGATCACGTGTCTAATTGTTCGGATAAAACGGCGGAACGAGGGCACGATGCATAAAGTACGTTTAGCTCGCTAAGAGATCGACCGCCTCTCCGCTTTCTCCGGTCTGCCGTGCATGCACGAGATGTGCATACCTGGTGGTCCAAAACGATCGAGCGCAGCTGCCGCTTGAATAATCGTCGCCCGGGATCATTACGCTCCGACGTCGATACATCGGCCGTAATTATACGGGAAAAGGAGCGCACCCGCGCCACGATAGGTCTCTCTCCCCCGGCTAGATCCTTAATTGCAAGAACAACCGGCGCTCTGCCATTTATCCCGCGGCTGGTAACGCTTCCCGGGAATTGCTTCGCGATCAATTTCGAGAGACGGCGATTTGCGTCGCGTTGCGAAATCGGACGTGCGGAGAGAGAGACGGTTGTTGAGAGACTTTTCGGATCCGAATCCAGACGTTCCGATACTTGGCTCGCTATCGTTTTCTCGCGTCTTTGTCGATACACATGTGTTTGTGTGTATTATTTTAATAAATTGCCACATATTTTTAAACGAAATTATTCGCTGCTTAACAATAGGAAGGTCAAAGAGCAAGTTTTGTTAGTTATCCGACGATCTCCTTAATTCGCGGCGAGTCTCGTCGCGAAGAAAAACGCGGGGCCACGCGCTATCAGCCTCCCCTGCCTCCCCTGCTTGAGATTAGGGTGACCCGATTTGTTCCGAAATCCGAGCTCCGCTGCCGGGATAAGATCGGCGGTGTTATCTCGGCGCGCGCCGCGCCACCCCGTAGAGGCGGGCATGTAAATGCGCGCGGCGCGGATATATTTATGCGAGAGAGGGTATTACCGAGGCCCCGCGAGTGAGTGTGCGGTACCTACGTGTATCTTGATGGGAAACACTCCCACGATTATGTGGCATGCGATGCAATTCCCTCTGCCTCGCCTTGCGCCAACAACCAGCAACCATCGCGCGAGCGAGCGAGCGAGCGAACGGGCGGGCGGGCCGATGTGTTTCTGGTACGCGACTGTCGCATTTCTGCGCGCGCGGATGCCACCGGTATTTAACGATCTAATTAAGAATGTAAGCCCAACGAGAGACGGCCGACGTCGGCCTCATGAGAGAGGTACGTAGATCTCGCGGCATCTCCGCGGCGCCCGACCACTTCCGGCTACCTGATTGCGTTGACTTTTTTACTCTTTGCTTTGCGTTCGGCTACGCGGAATATATTTTACTAATGCTAATGAATTGTCGGGGGATTTGAATTGGAAGGAGGGAAAATTCTTAATCAGCATTTAAATATTTACGCTCGTGGCATTTTTGAACAAGTTACTTATTCACTCAAATTGTGTAATATATTATCAATAATCTTAATAATTATTGCAAATAAAACACTAAAACACTACAAGATATCACTGTCAGGCCTGCTGCTTATATTCCGACACTGAAAGTATATTATAAACAAGTGTCTAAAATTGAAATGAGCGAGTAAAGATCAGGGAATAAGTGACTTCAAGGAGCATTGAGAAATCGAACGAGATGAATGCGAACCGCCATAGCCATGGGGGCTTTCGAGCACCGCGTGCCGGTATGTTTAATAAAATATTGCCACATCATTAATGTAGGCGCTACGCGCAAAGCCGCATGGTCACTCTTCTTTTTTTTCTTCTTCGTTTCCTTCTGCCGCCGCCGATGACTCGGTACATTCGGACAGGGCACCCTCTATTCGAGCCTAGATATGGGACTGACGCAACGAACAGCGCACACACCCACACCTGTCAACCGCCACTGACGAGAACCGTCAATAGTAATTATACCTTAATTTCATCACGCAAATATCTCGGTATTCGCCGGTACTCCTTTTTCCCTCGCGATGCTCTGTC